ATTTATACACTTATTTTCACATAGCTATGAGAAGCGTTATACATACTGTAATATAACGTATATTATGCGCGTGTAGTTGCCGTACTGTATTAAAGCTTTAATCAGGACAAAACGTATATATTAAAAGCTAACATAAGCAGTAGAATTTACAAATAACAGCATATCTAAAAGTATGAGACAACAACAAACAAAAAACATAGGCCTACCATTAAAAGCCATGCTTGCACAGGTTCTGCACAATCCTTTTCAATAATATCCTCTGTTTACAATACAACCGGAGCACATGCCACTGAGGTGACGGGCGGGACGTTTAGACACGCACTAGAGGCGGTTTAGCCAATCACAACACACTGGGCTAGTTAACCAATCAGAGCCCATCGCCTATTTCTGAGGGCGGGGCTTCATAAAAACAGGAAAATATCAGCCCGTTTCTCAGAGAAGAAACAGAACGGTGTGGAATAAAGGTAAATTATGTGATTTTAAACAAAGCATTAACACATGTTAGACTGCACCCCATAAACACAATCAAGCCTAGAAAAAACCCAGTGAACCACCCCTTTAAAATAATATATAAATTAAAGATGCGAAAGTTGGGTCAGTAAGTTTGTTTTTTATTTAGCAAGGATGCATTAAATTGATCAAAGGATATCTATTATTTTTTAAACTTTATATTCATCAAAGAATTGTATCACAGTTTCCACAAAAATATGAAACTCTTTTCAAAATGTATAATGAGTAATGTTTTCTTGAGCACCAAATCAGCACATTAGAATGATTTCTGAAGGATCACATGACACTGAGGACTGGAGTAATGATGCTGAAAATTCAGCTTTGGGAAGAAATTACATTTTAAAATGGATTCAAATAGAAAACATTTATTTGAAATAGACATAATACTTCATAATATTGCTGTTTTTACTGTATTTTGATCCAATTAATGCAGCTTTGTTGAACAGAAGAGATTAAATAATCTTACTGACCCCAAACTTTTGAACGACAGTATATATCATTTTTTTTATTTAACAAGTATTTTCCACATGTCCCTCAACAGAAGTGTGCAAATAAGATGCCTGTTTTTTTTTTTATCCAACTCCTTTGCATTCGCTGCTTTTTGCACCTGAAAAGACTAAAAACTAAGACAACCTTTCTATCGAGCTTTTTCAAGTCACTACAGTACAATGGATGAGCTCATAACCACTACATTAACATGATATATGAATCGCGATTCTGTCTTCTAACGATTCTAATGGATTCACAAGTTTCAAAATCAATGTTCTAAAGCAGCGGCTCTTAATACTGTTCCTCGCGTCGCCTGCTCGGCCTCTCTCTCTCTCTCATTCAGATCATCAGCTCAGTTCTGTTCCATTTATACACTTATTTTCACATAGCTATGAGAAGCGTTATACATACTGTAATATAACGTATATTATGCGCGTGTAGTTGCCGTACTGTATTAAAGCTTTAATCAGGACAAAACGTATATATTAAAAGCTAACATAAGCAGTAGAATTTACAAATAACAGCATATCTAAAAGTATGAGACAACAACAAACAAAAAACATAGGCCTACCATTAAAAGCCATGCTTGCACAGGTTCTGCACAATCCTTTTCAATAATATCCTCTGCTTCTCAATCGGGCTCAAACTGATAAGCGATATTAACGACGCCGTTGTTTACAATACAACCGGAGCACATGCCGCTGAGGTGAGGGGCGCGACGTTTAGACACGCACTAGAGGCGATTTAGCCAATCACAACACACTGAGCTAGCTAACCAATCAGAGCCCATCGCCTATTTCTGAGGTCTGGAAATCGCATTGGGATTAGTTTGCTAAATATTGTGTTTTTAACTGCAATATGAACATTTTGACCTTTTTATGCTTAGATAAAGGCAAAAGGTAAAAGACACAAAATCAAAAGCTAGCAAGTGATGA